TGAGCGCCGTTGTCGTAAATGCCGTGCTCTTAAAGCGGGCGGTGGACCTATCTACTCGCAAGACGCGCGCTTAACAGTACAACGCCGCCAGGTTGACCACGTCACCCGCTTGCAACAAGAGCTCGATGCAAGGTCACTTCGAGAGATAACAACGATTGTTAACAAATGAAAGCGTATACGGCCTATAGTAAGAATCAGGGTAAGAAATAACTTAAGCGCACAGCTAGTGGCATCATCATGATGCGCGACATTGCGCGCTGACAGTACGCCGTCAACGATTACAACTACAATACTAAGTCGCAATACAAATTGCAGCGCGTACAAGACGATCGCAGCATTGAGTATAGAGAGAGCATGATTACAATTGACGATACAGAGACAGCAGAGGTAGCTGCGGCGGTCCGCCACTAAGTCTGCCCGTACCGGCTGCTCTGCCAGCTCTCTCAACACCAAAATGACAGCAGCGACGACAATACAGCAGATGAGAAAGACGAGCTACTAGTTATACACCAAAGCGGTCCTCCTTGCCCAAGAAATTGAGCCGCAACAGTCACTTCTAAGCCCAATAATACTAAGTAAGATGGCTAGCTGCATGGGCAGCAGCGACCGCGATCGCGATTACAACAGTGACGTTTATAGTGGCTGCAGCCAGAATGACTGGGGAGCATCTCGAAACGTAAATTTAAGAATTAGTAAACTATTCTGTCTAAAATTTCCATATAAATATACCAAAACTTGCGACTGGAGTAGTTCATTGCCCTTAGGGTGGGAACCGGAGGGGGGAATGTACTGCCAATCTCGAATGTGACGAGATACCCATCTTTGAGCTAAGCTATTGATCAGTCGTAGTTATCTTCTTACTATGGCTCCTTATACTGATGCACATCTCCGTACCTTAGTTATCGCGTTGAAGTCGCCTCCTAGGGGCAAGAATACGTCACAAGTTTCTGTGCTAACTGGTGTTCATCCTCGTACGATTAATCGTATCTATAGTAGAGCTATTGCTGCAGGCTTTGATCCAAGCGAACTTCGTATCAGGATCCTTCCACACCACGTTCAGAATGCTCCAAAGCCTAGCAGACCCGCTAAGCAGACGGATGAGGTGAAGGGGCAGATGTTTCCATAAGTACGACGCGACAGATATGGACAAGAGAAGACCTGCGCTGACATTGCTGGTGGGCTCAGTCTCCGAGGAGTCGAAATCTCTGCCTCTACCGTCTGGAGGGTAGTGAGAGAAGCGGGATACAAGAAGACCAAGCCAATGATGAAGCCTGGGTTGACACAGGACATGAGGAGTGCTCGTCTTAGGTGGGCGATCGACCATAGAGACTGGACGTTAGAGGACTAGAAGAATGTCGTCTGGCCAGACGAGACATCCGTGATGATCAACCACCAACGTGGGGGCTACAGGATCTGGATGAGGGCAGACCAGAGTAGTCAAAAGCTGCATCCGTGAGAGGTGGAAGAGGTACTCTGAGTCTATGTTCTGGGGCTGCTTCTCGTACGATAAGAAAGGTCCATACCATATCTACCAGCCAGAGACGAAGGCAGAGAGAGATGATGCTGCTCGTCATACATGGGCACTTCCGTTCATTCTTTCTTTCGGTCGTTTCGTTTAAACCGTTTATTTACATTTAAACGTTTAAACGTTTATAGACATTCGAAAACAGTTTAAACAGTTAAATAGAGTTTCTAGCCTTGTAACGATGTTACAGCCTCGCCAGGTATCGGACCAATCCCAGAGCCGAATCGGAGGAAGTATCAGCCGCCCCTTCATCAGCTATTCGTTTCTTAGTCGGATTCGATTCGGACCCGACTAGGATAGGTATATATTGAGACACTCCCTGTAACTAGCTCTGTAGACTTTTGATACCCTTTCGTACAAGGCCTATAGGTGTCTATTCGAATCAAGGCTCGTTTGATGTCCTACACACTCCCATATGCCTCTGAGTGACACTACTGCCGATACTGATCCGAGTAGTCTTGCCTGCGCCGTTACAAGCTTTAGCAATAGAAAAATCTTTAAAGTCCCGTAATATCGGTCCTAAATCATTATACTAAGTCTAAAAACTTGTCTTTTAACTATCAATAATTAAGTTAACTATCTAGTATAGTATCTATTATTAATGCTACAGAACCTCTCTAAGATGTTAATAGGTTACTGCTAAACTTTCTCTTAATTACAGAGATTACGAAGGAGCGTTTGAATACACGTGGACGTAAGTGTAGAGGTAAAACCTTCTATACTTACACGGTGTGTTAAGATAAACGATACAACTATAAGATAAATACTGCTAATTACGTTAGAAATAATCATCCCGTCGCATCCAGATCCACCAGGTCCGTATCGGGTACCTAGCGCTCAATCTCCGCGCATTTTCGCCCTATAGCAAGCGAGGATGCGATTCGGAATACCTTTAATCCGTAAGCATATTAGAAATCATTGATTAGTATACTCACTCGCTAAAGAGTACTCTTTTTAGCTATTAAATAGGATGAGTTTAAATAACTAGCTCTCGCGTGTAACCTATATATCAAAGACTCCCTCATCACCTTACGGCGCACGATAGTCCAATACATTACAGCAAACTATGATTTTTACAGTAGCGAGATCAAGAATAGTCTTACTACCACATTGAGTCTAATATATATCTACACGGACCTCTTGACGTCTCTATATAGACACTCTCTACTTGCTGTATATGTACAGTGGGTAGATAAAGACCATAAACTTTGTAAGGCACTACTATCTTTACTAGATTGTCTAGAGAGTCATTCTAGAGAAGTTTAAGCGCAGGCAGTTATCGATACTCTAGAGAAATATGGGATACAGTTAAAACTTAGATAGCATACAGGTAACAACGTGACGTTAAACGACACATGCCTCGAGTCTATACAACGCAAGCTAATAAATAGACATAGAATTAGTTAAATACGCAGTAAAGACTACAGACTGACATTTAAATAGATTAAATTCAATACAAAAGGACGTCGTATACGCTGTATCGCGCATATTATTAACCTCTCCCTTTAAGCCTTCCTTCTCGCATCTTCTAAAGAGGCTCTCGTCGCAGCACTCGAAGCATCATCCGGTGTCACTACAGAGAAGCTTTTTTCTTAGTTTTCTAAGGTCCTAGCTTTTCATTAAAAGAAGGCTGCCGCCGAACGAAATATAGCAAAGAGAAAGAACGGAGAGCCGGCCAGAAAGCACATGCGCAAGGGCAGCACAGCTAGTAATGCTTCTATGATATCGACTGAAGACTTAAGTGGCGTTAAAAATGTCCCTGTATTGCGCAAGCTTTATAGCTTAGCTATATAGCTAAGGTCATCAACCCTCTACCAGAATGCGTGGGATAAGGCAGTAGGACTACATTTGGGAATAGATAATCGCACCTGCTAGTTATCCTAGTGTCAGATCATTAATCGTGTAATTAGAAAGAAGGACAATATCCAGTCCTTCATGTCTAATCATGAAGATACTATTGGGGACAGCCGGCTACTAGTTAGAGATTGGGAATTGCTAGGCAAAGCACACACGTTTCTTCGACCATCTGCTTTAGCAACCTTGTACGCAGAAGAAGACGACTCGTCTATCTCACAATCTTTGATACTGATAGGTATATCATTACTCCATTACCAAGAACAACAGGTACCCTTTAATTTATCCATATTAAGTCGATTACTAATATCTTATTAGAAGACATATTAGTCAGATATACATAAAGACGAACAGATAGTTCGAGCCATCGATATGGGATAGTTTATCCTTTCTAAATACTGCTACTTAACTGAGGAGGTCCCTGTATACGCCGCCGCTCTCCTTCTTGATTCCCGCAAACGCATCGCGTATATTAAGCAGAATTGGCCAGAGAAAGAGCACGAAGATGCTATTGCCTCGGCCACAGTATTCTAGCAAAAAGAATTCAATCTCGGACCCTCTAGCGAATATCCTTTTACTCCTACGACGATGCCACCACCACTAGCAAAGAAGCATAATCAACTCGCGATACTATCAAAGAAGCTAGAGGTTAAGACTATCAATGCGAGAGTTAGTGATGATTTTACTAGCTTTATTAATAGTATAGCAATAGATATCTCTCCAGATTGTGCGCCTCTGGGATGGTGGTGTTAGCTACAGCAGAGAAGACAGTATCCGAAACTTAGCCCTATGGCGATTAGTGTTCTGTCTATCCTAGCGGATTCGTCGGAGCCGGAGAGGACGTTCTCTAGGGCAAGAAGGACATATTCATAGGACAGATTACGAATTATATGTAAAACTATTAAGATAATTGAATAACTAGTTATACAGGTAGTTGGCTGCGTTAAGGACTCATACGGCCTCTCTATAAGAATGGGATAGGCTTAATCAGAATCCCGCGGCCAGAAGGTGACTCTCAGAATGTTAAAGATGATAGTAGGCATTATCTTGACTGGTACTAGAATAAATAATTGCTATAGATATTTCTCACCACTATATATTGTCTATTCGTTCGTTTAACTGTTTGTAACATTTTTAAACCGTTCAATCATTTGAAAAGTTTTCGACCGTTTAAACGGTTTGCTCATATATACTGTTCGTCAGATTGAGCAGCTGAATGCCAAGCTTGAGCCTCTACAGCGAGAGGAATGGGAGCTGTCAGAGTCTATGAGGAGGACAGGGTCACGCAGCAAGCGTGGCGGGAAACCTCAATGGAGATGAACAGAGAAGATAGGCAAGTTGATGCGTACATCTGGAGGTGGCGTAGACTGGTAAAGATATCAGACCTGCGTTCTGATCCCAAAGCTGATTCCTTTTGCCAAAGAGAGCCCTCAAGATAGACCTCAGACTTTCATAATGGAGAGGACAAGGCACCTACGCATACCCACCATTATTAGAGTGTGATCTATAGCCTGCACAACGTTAAGAGACTACTCTAGTATAGCAACTCGCCAGACTGTAACTGTATTAAGCCGTACTGGTTTTACATGAAGAGAGAGACTACAAAGAAAGGAGCTCCACAGTTAAGGGCTAAGGTAGTCAGAATCTAATAGAACTGCTAGAGAGATCTCTCGCAACTTAAGATCCAAGTTTAGATTAAGCGAATTCTTGTTTAACGTGTTTCATAAGCGAGCTGATCACCCAAGCGAGCTAATCAGTCAAAACCCCACCAAAAATCAAGATTAACAGGGGTCTATATCTTAACAAC